ATAATGATTTTTGTTCAGAACTAAAGCCCACTTTCCCAGGGGGAAAAGAACAAAGACCCTGATTTGCTCTACCCTTGACCAAATTACAATAAATGGCATACATGTCTTTTAGCTGCAGGCTTCTCTTCTTGTACATTTAGATGTTCAAATGCTTATAGTAAGCAGTCTGAGACAAGTGAATTGTAAGAAATTGAACTGAATTTATCAAATAATTGAGAAGCTGCTGAGATATTTATTCCCTATATTGTTCCCATGAGAAACATATATCTGAAATATAATCACTCCATAATTATTCAGTCTTCTTTATTTTCCAGTCCATAATATCATTTTATCAAGACTCTTGTAAACCAAATATGAGAAATACACATTTGTTGTTAGTGTCATTCTTCCCTTGTTCCACGTTGATTGGCATCTTTCACTATTTTATTATTGTAATACTCCTCTTTTGTGATTTTTAAAAGACTTTTGCTTCAACTACCTTTCTGCGAAACATTTTTGATATTTCTCATTGATGCTTAAGCACTAGCAGCAAAATAGTGCATTATCAAATAACATAGTAGCCGTGGCTGGTTTTTGGCACATATGAAAATTGTATGGTATATTTTTGAACCTGAAAGATTTATACATGATTCTGATGAAGTTTACTTTCTATATGTAATCAGCTAATATTTTTAGGAGAGCTGTTAATAATGCAGCTTCTATTTTCAAGCTATTTCTTTTGATAAAGTAATTAGTAAGAATGAAAACATTAAGATAAGAATGTAAAATAAATATATTTCTATGCATGCTGAAAATTAGAACTATGAAAACAATTAGGGCAAAACTACATTTTCAACAATGCTGTGGATGAAGTATTATTTTTGAAATGTCAAGGTGGTCATGTCCTTTCTTTCTTTCTTTTTCTTTCTTTTCTTTTTTCTTTTAATTAAATTTATATACCGCCCTACTCCCGAAGGACTCAGGGCGCTGAACAGGCAGGAAATAAAATACATAGATACAAAAGTTAGAAACATAATTAAAACCAGATTAAATAATTTAGCCCAAGACAATAAAAAATCCCAATAATTTAAAAGAAATTAAAATTTCGATTTAAAAGAATTTTAAAACAGGGGAGAAAATTAGGCCAGGCCGGCTTGCTGGAATAGGAGGGTCTTAAGAGCACGGCGGAAAGTGCGCAGATCCGGGATCCTCTGTATCTCTGGGGTGAGCTTGTTCCAGATAGTGAGTGCCCCCACAGAGAAGGCCCTCCCCCTGGGGGCCGCCAGTCGATACTGTTTGGCTGACGGCACCCAGAGGAGCCCCTCTCTATGAGAGCGTACCGGCCAGTGGGAGGCTGCTTGTGGTAGTAGGCAGTCCCGTAAATAACCAAGTCCTAAGCCATGGTGACCAAAACCTTGAAGCACACCTGGAAGACCACCGGGAGCCAGTGCAGCTCGCACAGGAGAGGCGTCACACGGGAGCACCATATTGCTCCCATAACCACCCGTGCGGCCGCACTCTGTGCCAATTGGAGCCTCCGGGTGCTCCTCAAGGGGAGCCCCATGTAGAGAGCATTTCAGTAGTCCAGACGGGAAGTGACGAGGTCATGAGTGACTGTGTGTAAAGAATCCCGATCCAGAAAGGGACACAACTGGCGAATCAGGTGAACCTGATGAAAAATCCTCCCGGTCACGGCCGTCAAGTGCTCTTCTAAAGACAGCCGTGAATCCAGGAGGACACCCAAGTTGCGAGCCCTCTCCGTGGGGGCCAGCGATTCGCCCCCAATAGTCAGCGGTGGCGTCAACTGACTATATCGGGACGTTGGAAACCACCATCCTATTGATGCAGCTCTAATGATGTAAAGCAGTGGTCCCCAACCTTTCGGGCTTGCGGACTGGCAGCAGCAGGGGGGAGATGGAATGATTTTGTGCGCACTGCTTGCGCAAATGCAGCTTTACAAGCTTGAACGCTTGCCTGCTGCTTGCGCAGCCCAGTTCTCAACAGGCTGTGGATCGGGGATTGGGGAGCCCTGATATAAAGGAATGTAGAGATTAAATTGGTGAAGTAATGAATGAACTGTTAAGAGAGAAGAAACAGCAACTTAGTTCTGAGAAATGGAAAATGTTGATCAACACATTCTTGACTTTGTCTAATATGCAAAAGGGAAGAATGAAACAACTCTTGAAGTACTAACATTTCTCTGCTTTAAAGAATTAGACCAAAAAACTGACACTCCAGAGATTCCAGTTATACAGGTAGTCCTTGACTTATAATCATTTGTTTAATGACTGTTCCAAGTTACAGTGACACTGAAACAAGTGACTTATCATTGTTTTTTTACACTTATGACTGTTGCAGTATCCCCATGGTTGCATGAGCAAATTCAGATGGTTGGGAGCTGGCATGTATTTATGACAATTGCAGTGTCCCAGAGTCGTGCGATTAACTTTTGCAACCCACTAACAAGCAAAGTCAATGCCAGATTCATTAACTAACCATATTAGTAATTTAACAATTGCAGTGATTCACTTAATAGCTATGGCAAGAAAGATCATAAAGTGGGGCAAAAATTATTTAACTGTTGTGCTTAGCATTGGAAATTTTGGATTCACTTATCGTAAATCAAGGTCATATTACTTTATGTTGTAGGCTACAGTGACGGAATCTTGAAAGCCTGTCGGAATTTCTCTCTATCTCATTTTGTACCAGTCAAAATCAAATCAGATTATTGTTTCTCATGACTCAGTTTTTGTTTCTTCCCCTTCTTTTCCAAATTTCTGTTTTGCGTTCCTTTACAAGTGAAAATATGAATATTTCACTAAAATATAAAGTAACCTGACCAAATATGCAAATAATCTCAAAGAAATGCTAAATCCTTTGGGTGCTGTGCTATAAGGACTGATATTTCATTCATGGAAATCCTTAGAACAAATCATTCTTTCAAGTGATTTTCACAGCTTTATTTGGAATTTCTCATTTACTTAGGATGATGGAAGATATGAAAGTGCAATTCCAATTACTGCTAATAGAATCATTAGAAGATGTTAGATATATATTAATGGTTCTGGGAAAGTTTAAGCTGGATGGTGTCAAAAGGATTCTAAACACCTATAATACCACAAAGATTAGCTACTGGTATTTGATACTGGAAATATGACTGAAAACTGGTCACAGTGATATTCTGGTCCATGACATATTATAGAAAAATGAAATATTATTTGCAAAGTTTGAAGCACATTGTATTTCAACGTGAAAGCAAGGAATGACAAGTTAAATCCATAAATAAGCTGCTATCTTAGGAAGCAAAGTTTTTTATTCTGTAGTGTAGATGATATGATGAAGAATGGAATTCTAAAAATATAGTGATAAAACAATTGCAAAAAGACAATTTGACTTTGGGTATTGTAAAGTTTATAATTGCTTGTGCAATGGCAAAATCTCTAATGCAATTCCTATAGGGCAAAGGAGAAATGAATTGCAGCTTGCAAACAGCATGTTTGCAGCAACCAACTAGAGTATTAGTACAGTGTCAGCGTGCATAAAATTGTATATAGAAAAAATTCCAGAAGAAAACAGTTTTATTTTCACATTTCTCAAATGAAAAAAGTAAACAGCTTAAAACTGAATAGGAATACTTAGACAAATAACAGTGCAATGCTTTTCATATGTCTGTACAGGAGTATAGGAGTATATAAAATTTGTGTTACATCCAAAGGAGATGCTACATTATTAATGTGGTCTGAAAGGAGTTGCAGTAAAACAAATGTTGTGATAAACCATGCAGTCCATACCAGCATGGCATAATGAGATCAGATTACTATATAGTTTTATAGAGTTCAGTAGAATATGGAACATTTTTTATGAATGGCAATTTAAACATGAACATCAGGTAATACTTTCTAGAAAAATATATTTATACATTAATATTGATTCAAGAAAAATATGCTTAGAAAATTATAGCAGTATAATTGCATGAACTGTAGAAAATGTTAAATACAACATGATTTCAAGCAAAATACAATTGTCAGTGATACTACTGCATAATATTACCATCACTATGATAATAGAACCCCAAGAAAAATATTCTAAATAAACTGGAACATCCAGTATCCCTAGAACAAAAACCAAAAGTTATGTACAACATACAGTGTAAGGTTTGTAACAGCTGCTTTATAGTACAGATAGGCAGAAGATTTGACAGAGAAGATCCATGAAGGCCACCTAGCAGTCGGAAGACACCATGAAAATTCCTTAATCTCACAACAAATGTTCAGACTCAATCATAATTTCAACTGGAAACCTATGAGCATCCTAGACCAGCTAATCCAAAAATATTAGCATATTCCTGGAGGCTTGGAATTCAGACAAATCAGCCATCAATAGACACATGGAAATAAACCACATTTACAGACCATTCAAAAGACTTAATAAAATTAAAAAAGAAAGCAACCAACCAATAAAAACCCCATATCCCACTCCTAAACCCAGATAAGCAGGAATTAACACCAGACAAACAAGTAAAAAAAACAATATCCTAATCAATACGTTGGCAATATTGACAGGATAAGTTACTGTATATAAACATGGCGCAAACCCCATCCTAGCACTTATGATGTTACCTAGTTGGGTAATGAAATGTTTGCAAACAACCAAGCTCGGAGAGTTCACAAGGAATTCATTCATACATTTTATGGCAGATTGTATGTCTGCTGTAAGATGATGATATTGATCTACCTTAGAGGATAGACTACAGTGTTTAATACAGTCAGATTAATGTGTAATATTTTAAATAATTAAAGGTTATATAGACATATATTCAATTGTTAAATATTGAGATATATTTTCTTAAAGCTTATGAACAGGAAATTATAACTATATTTTTACATTATTTCTAATAATTAGAAAATTCTTTGAACTTAATTTCATTGTGATGTGAGAGATTTGGATTGTTTTGTAATTATCACACTTTCTGATAATACTGAAGTCTAGTAACAGCAAAATACATTCTCTTCTCTTATTAGCTTGTGATGAATGGAAAATTCTTCAAAAACCAAGTCTTCATAGGGATGTGAACAGATTTGGTCATTCTGCAATTGTCAGCAATGGGTAATGTATTTCTCAACATTGGCTAAAAGAAAACACACATATCAATTGTTTAAAGATGCAGAATTCATGAATAATATGAATTATTGTCTGGTTACCATGTAAGCCAATACTGAGTTTCCATTTAAATCAAAACTTGTAAAATATGAATACTTTCAGTATTAGTAATTAATTTATTTAAATTTAAATATTACTTCATTTGACCAAGTGTTTGTTACAAATGAAGTATAATGATTGAAAAGCCCTGTAAAAAGAAATGTATAAATAAGACTGAAATTAAACTTGAAGATTAAAATCCTAGTATAGGTAGTTCTCGACTTATGATAACTGAAACAGATATCTTAGTCATTGAGTGAAGCAGTTATTAAGTGAGATGCCCACATGATCACTTTGCTAAATTATTTTAAACCTACTCTTCCTATTGCAGTCATTTAACAGACAGAACAAAAGAACTGCATGCCAAAGGAGGGTAGATAGTTCCCCTCCATGTACAGAAGGGAACCTCTGCATTGGGCTGGAGAAGCGAAGATTGGAGCTTTATTTTTATAGCCTAATAAAGGATTCTCCCCCCGCCCCCCATGCATAGAAGGGAAAGACAGTCCTTCGGCAAGTGGCAACAACTTGCCAGCTTCTCCATTTTCTATCTGGGGAAGCTGGCAGGAAAATTGCAAAGGATGATCACATGATCGTGGGACTTTTGGCAACCAATTACGAGTGTGAACAGGTTGTCAAGAATCCAGATCACTATCACATACCACTGGGGAGAGTATATGACATTTATGATGTCCAGAAGTTCTTTACAGATCATAAAAGCATCCTTTCTGAGCCATCTTAACTTTGAATGGTCTTTATATGACTGATCATATAAAGTTGAGGATTACTTGTCCTGCATAAATTGTAGGCAAAATCACATTTATCCTATCCCAAGAACAATTCTGTTTTGGACCAAGATCATTAACTAAAAAAAAAAAAAAATCACATTTCTGGACCTCAGACCCATTCACTTTTTGAAAATGGGTCACAACAAACTACTTTACTTATGAGTAAGCATTTCAGACAGGTGAACTCTTGGATAAGTTGGTACTGAAGATGTCAAGCTATGATTAACAGCAATGCTTTGAATTGCACTCTGAAACCTGTAAAGGTGCCAAATTCTGAAACAATTGCAGTTTCTGAATGGAATCTTAAAAGGCATGTCCAGGTAGAGTTTATTGCAGTGTTCCACGTGAGCATTGATAAAGGCATGAGTCCCCTGTGTGACTTTGATTGATTCATTTTCTATTGGCTGATCTGAAGACAAATGAGAAGGGGTGTTAATCATAGCTTGTTCCCTTTCTTATCTCCATCTATAATTTTTCTCTGATCATTTTATTATTGGAATTACTCTATTCTGTATATCATATTGAATTGATTTTATATTGATTAAGAAGTTGGTTTGAACCACTGTTTTGACTTAAATTTTTAAATGCTATATAAATGATCAACACTTAGTTGTAATATTGTTCAATTGTGCATCATATATGTTGTAATACGTAAAACTTGTGAGTACCGTGAAAAATAATTACATGAATTTTCTATCTATGTTCTTATATTTAAATAGCCATCTTGTGAAGTTTTAAATTAAAACGATTTTAAATTGACATGCTAAATACCATGTTGCCTTAAGGGAAAAAAGAGTTTTATAGACCTGAATGAATTTATTTTATTAGAAACTACAAAAAGTATCTAAATGATGTCATTCTTAATTCTATTAGAATCTGTCTCTCATATATTTAGTTACATTATACTTTCTACTTTCTGAATTTAGTCAAGAATGAACTTGTTTGGGGACATCATTATTTGGAATTTTTTTCCCCTACCTGTTCATGGTCTCCATAATGTAAGACTATTATTGGAGAAACATTTCTTCCATTTTTAATTGACAAGTTTAAATTTTAAGGATGTGTAAAGTTGATTGTAGTCTTTTCCTCTGATTTATTTAGTTTTCCTCTGAAAAATAGAAGAATTTTTTTGACAACTAGCTGCTCAGTTTCATAAAATGATCTTAATGGGTTCAAGGGGCTACAAAAATGAACTTATTAGCTATAGTAATTGTAAAAATATACAGGTCTATCCAAATACACGTTTAAATGTGAATGTAAACAAGGCAGATTCATGGCTTTGATATCGATTCTTGTAGAAAAACAATATTATTTTATTTTATTTGATAGGTCCATGTATATATTTGGAGGCTTTTCAAGCGTTTTGTTGAATGACATCCTTGTATACAAACCTCCCAATTGTGAAGCATTCAGAGATGAAGATCTTTGTAAAACTGCTGGGCCAGGATTAAGATGTTTATGGAACAAAAATCACTGTGTGTCATGGGAACTTGGACATGATACTAACATCCTTAGCCCAAAATGTCCCAGAAAAATAGGTAAGTAAATTTCCTGTAATATTGAGAATACACATTAAACTGAATGCAATGACTGCATTGCTTGGCCAATTCTGCCATGAGAATGCATTTCTATTAAAAAAATGTCTGTACAAATATAAACTACCTAAACCAAGATTTATTTTATTTATTTATTTATTTATTTAAATTTATATTCCGCCCTTCTCCCTGAGGACTCAGGGCAGTGTACAGCCAGAATTAAAAAACATAGAATACAAATATTAAAAAACAATTAAAATATATATAAATTTGGCCCAAAATTAAAAATACAAACCAATTAAAACATTTAAAATTTGAGATGAGAATCTGAGCAAGTGTTATATACATAAGAGTTACGTATAATAACAGACCTCCGGATTTTTCGTCGGGCCCTGAAAACTTATTTATTTCAACTAGCTGGGCTGGCTTGAGCTAAATTTTAAATTGATTTTAAATTGGGTTGTTTTAATTTACGGCCAGAATATTTAATTATTTTAATACTGTTTTTTAAATTTTGTATGCTTTGTTTTTATTTAGGCTGTGCACCGCCCTGAGTCCTATTTGGAGAAGGGCGGTATAGAAATTTAAACAAATAAATAAATAAAATAAGACACCAGAGCAATTTCATGAGTAGGCCAATGTGCTGTCTTTATTGTTGATCACATATTTACAAGAATCTTTCCAGTCAAATTGCATTCCCTTGGGAACTGGCAGATAAAGGCTTCAAGATTATGACTTCTGCTTCTTCTTCCCATGGAGAAGCTCCAAACTAGATCTCCTCTTTACCCCACCCTCTATTGTAGCCCTTCTATTCTAACTCCAATAGAAAAGAGAAATAGGGAATTTGTTATTGTATGACTTTATAGATTTTGGAAACCTTAAAAGAAAAAGTAACCATTCTTTAGAATTGATTGCAGAATCTAAGTATAAAGAATGTAAGTAGTTCATCTCTTTTGACAATTGATACATATACATGTGGTGATTTACATTGTTCTTGCTTTTATTTCAAAAGCTATTCAATGGTGCAACTTTAAATTATTAAAACATGCCCATTATTAAGCGGTTTTCTGAAAATAAAGAGATGAAAATAGTAAAGAGATGAAAAGATAAGAGAAACTGTAAGATGTGGAGATGATATATTGCCAATGTTTTATCAGGGTAGGAAATATAGACTATTGAGAAAAAGTCTCTTTAGTTTTAGAAGATTTACAAATCAAAGAAAAAAGTACTGAGTTGAATTGAATGCTAGACTAAAAGGGGAAATGATGTGAATAACCTTTGAAAAGTAGGCAAGCACAGAAGGAATGTAAAAACCACTCTAAAAGGCCAATATAGCTTTTGTGATAAGAATGTGGAAATAAATCAAGATGTATTAAATGAATTTTAAATACAGTAATCTTAGAATGTAAGGAATTGAACGGAACTTACAAATGAATTACTACAATCTCATATCTGGTGCAGGACTAGAACAAATAGCAGTAAGATTAGTACTACTACCATGTCCTACTACCCAGTCTTTGCTTCACCAAGTCCACCAACTCCTGTGGTCTATTCCATTGGTGAATAGCTAACACTTTTAGGAAATGTTTCATGAAACAAACTGCATCTGTTAAAGTTTTTTTTTAACTGAAAATAATTGTTTCTTGTCCTGGTTCTAGAATCTGTGAACAGTTCTGCCCTGTTTTCTACAAAACAGCCCTTCAGATTTTGGAAGACATCTATCCCGTTTTTTTTCAAGCTAAACATACCCAATGCCTTCAATCATTTTTTAAAATTCAGGACTATGTACCATCTTGATTGCCTTCTGCTTCAGTGTCTTACTGAATACACTAATTCAGGGACATGAACAGAATATAATATTAGAGGTACATAATCTGACGAACACAGAATTAAGAAGTGTGACTTCTTTTAGTCTTGACGCTATAATTCTGTTGATGCAACACTCTTTTTTTTGCAATTTCATGCCTCATCTTTAACTAGAAATCCACCAAGACACCCAAATCCCTTTTCTGTGCCCTGCCTACAGCATCGTCCTTTTATTCTGTACCCATCTTAGATTATTTTTCCTACCCAAATGTTGAAATTCATTTTACCAGTTTATACTAGCTTGTTATTGTTCTCCTGAATCTTGTTACTAGCATCTAAGCAGTGCACTATTTTTCTATCTCTGTGAAGTCTAAATTTCTCACCTTCTTTATGTCAACTCTTTTGCTTATATCCATTTTGAATAGAATAAATGCAGAGTTATTTTGGATTTCTTTCACCTTTCATAAATTGTCGTTTCCCCTCCTTAATGGCTTCTCCATGCCTTCATCAAAGCTGTTTTCATATTTCAGTACAACAGATTATCAACACCATAAAAAACATGCACAGTAGAAACACTTCTGAAACAGGTAGCTTCTAATTAAGGAAATAAATGAGAATTTTTCTAAAAGATAAGGATATTACTAGTCTATATATTCTTAACCTTGATAAGGAGCAAAAATTTCATGATCCCAGCTCTGCTTATAGCATGTTCTTGAGTGCTCTCAGATCAAAGGTAAAGATTTCCTCTGCTTCTGGGGAAAGTCATAATTCTCAAAAGCTCTTTCAGTGCTTTGAATACAATTCATTTCTGATTTCAAGATGTAATGAGTTGGCCTTCCTGACCAAGGCTTGCAGAGTGAAAGATATTCAAAGAGGTGCTCAGTGAATGAATTATCAGTTGTGGAATTGTGGCACAGAGAACTATTTCCAGGCTTCCTTTTATCAAATACAATAAAGAAAGTTCAGATTAAGATAACTTTTCTTCATAATACGTTTTACCATTTTCAAAGTTCTATTTGGCTGGGTCCTTTGTACCCCATCCTTTCTCAGTAGAAAGGATATTTATTAATGGACTTAAAAAATCTTTTTTTTCCATCACATCCTGGATTTTTGCCACAGGAAGGCAGCAGACTATCAAGCCTGGATAACAGTTTACTGCTTTGGTCCTCTCAATAGGAAGCCTCGTGTTACTACCACCTGTCATTTCTTTCCCTTCAGAATAGAATCCATCCCTTTGCAGATCCCAGTAGACATCCCTACAGTATATCATTAATCAGGCTTGTGAAAGTTCTTTTTCATCCAAGGGTCCAGAAACTTTACCCACAATGAATCCCTGGAATCTATTGTGACGGTCCAGATAGTAAAACATCATCTTGATGAGCTTAGATATGTAACTTCTTCTATCTTTCCATCTCCTCTATTTCACTTTCTTCCATTTTCTAAGATACGTCTTGGTACTAAAATTTCTCCACAAGCATTTTCTGTGCCTATTCAAGAAATTCCCATCTTCCCTATAACTGCAGAGTAGATAGTTTGCCACTATATTTCTACAATATGCAGCATTCTTATTATGCTCAGGAAACAAAAACAGGAACAACTTCCTCTGTTTCTATCTTCTCTGATGAATAACAACTGTCTCTCTTTTTTCCAGAACATCTGTTAATTCCCTCTGTTGTTTCTTCAGTTGTGTCTTCCTTATTCTGTGGTTGCGCAGTGGCTAGGATGCAGTATTGCAGGTTCAACAGTTCAATGTTGACTCAGATTCCATCTTTCCGAGATTGGTAAAATGAGGACCCAGATTATTGTGGGCAATATGCTGACCCTGTATATCTCTCAGAGAGTATGTAAAGCACTATGGTCCTCTATGTAAACCTAAGTGCTATTGCTATTATATATTCCCTGAAGCTGTCTCAACTAGATCAGTAATAAGTAATGCTTCAGCCCACATATAACAGGCAAACAACAACATCATTTGCAATCAACAGTATGAAAATCATCAGCAGCAATTAAGAATCAAGTAATAGCAGTTAGGAGTAAATAAGATACATGACTAATACAGGAGGTAAAAGCAGTTGATTTTAACATATATTTAGATTAATAAAGATGCAGCAACTTTTTCTTATTTCATGACTTGCCATATCATTTTCTTTGGTAAACAATTGAAATGATTGCTTCCATTTCAACTTGAACAGTGCTAGAGATAAATTGTCATGTTTTGATGAATGCTTTAGGACTCATTTTAACATTTATTTTATATTGAGGATTCTTTTGATAAGTAAAAGAGATATGTTTTTAAATATTTGTAGCCCCTGCAACTAGTTGTACTATTATGATTGAATCTTGAGGATGTGGTTAGGATGTGTGAAGACTTTCAAGGCCTACATTGCTTGTTGCTGTGACAGATTAAATTACTAGAACAGGCTGCAAAGTTAAAAGAGTTAATAGGTGTTTTCTTGTGATATATATTTGTTTTTCCTTGCTAAATGGGGACAAAATTCCATTCCATCTAAAGAAACCTGCACTTGACATGGATATTTCGCAGTTACGGAGCAGTGTCAAATTCTTTGTTTCTGAGAAAGGAGATTGGGAAAAGGTGGATCTTGTGCAAATGATATTAATTATCTGGGCATTTTTCCAGAAGTATTTGGTCAGGATATTAACTGAAACATTCTGATAGCTTTGGTAGATGATTTACAAATGGATGTCAGGACTATGATCCTGCTAATTCTTTTGGACTTCTTGGCAGCTTTCTTTATCATAAAATTAATTATAAAAAATTATTACTGTTGCTCTTCTTGTTCTGGTGATATTGTGCTTTGGATGTGCTCTTTTTTAATGGTTAGTCTTACTAAGACACATTCAAAAGACAGTAGTGAAAGAGTGATGTTCAACATATAGGTCACGGTTTTATGTGACTGTCCATAGGATTCCATCTTCTCTGCATAAAGTATTTGGGAAAAGTCATGCATAGGTTTCCTTTGTTACCATCAATTCTAAATAACCTGTGCTGTTATACTGATACTGGGCTAGATAATAATAAAGAAACAATATCTCAATAGAAACTTATTTTTAAATAGGAATAGGAGTGTGTGATTGAGAAACAGTCTGTTGGTTTTCCCTTCTTTCAAAGGAAGATGGTTGGTCTGTAAATGAACCACAGCTGTACTTGGATTTCCAATTGGTGGTTTTGGTAAATT